GCAGTGGAAGAGGTGATACGCAGTTGAGCCTGTTCAGGATTGAGGGAGAAGCATCTGAGGGAACGCCTTGAGCAGAGGCACAGAGGCTGGTAGTCCTCAGTGTGTGGGAAATGCCCAGGGATCTCCTGTGGCTGCAGTCCCAGCTCTGCAGAGTAGGGAGAGAGAGCTGCTCATCATCAGGGTGAGGTTGTGCCAGGCTTAGGGTCTGGGACTTGATCCTCTCAGGTGGAAATGCTCTGTGTGCCAGGAGGTGCCACACAGCTTGTGATTGTGCTAATACTATAATAGATGTGGAAACTGAGGCACTGAATGGGAGTGCAGGGAAATAAACCACATATCTCTTAAGATCTCAAGGGTGGTGATTGTTGGGGCCTAGATTTGAACCCAGTGGTGTGTGGCTTCAATGCCCACTCTCGCCAGAGTTCACCACCTAGCTCTGCCACTCTGCCCTATTCCTTTGGGGGCCGTGCTCAGAGTTAGACAGGTTTGGATGGAGGAAGACCTCAAACAACAGAGAAGCATCTTAGGGAACATTCATGCTGTGAGATGCTTCACCAGCAAGGGCTTCCCTGACAGTTTAGTTTAGAAAATTCCATTCATGCAGTTTTTTCTCTTGGAGCTTCATGGTTTGTTTTACCAGAGAGAGTAAGTTTTACCTTGTTAAGCCAGATTACAGGTGAAGTGCAGGGGCCAAAAGGAGGCTCAGGAAGGGGGAAGAGACTTGGCCAGAGTTACATGGCCAGAAAATTATGAGGCCAGAGCCAGAGCACAGGCATACGTCTATCTGCAAGTAGCAAATATCATGCTACCCTTGCTTTTTCCCAACCCGTTTTCAAGAAGAGCACAGGGACTTTTCTTCTCAGCCTTAGTCTCTATTTGTCTCTTTCTCAGTCTGACAGGAGCGATGGCCACTGGAAGGAGAAGGGCGTGCACTGTACCAGGCCTCAGGCTGGGCACCCACCCCTGGATGCCACCCCAGCAGGTCCCAGAGGAGAGTTGGCAGCAGGCACCTCATCCCCCATGCATCCCAGCCAGTGCCACATCCTCTGCAGGTGGAGTTACCGGTCTCTCCTCCCCACGTGCCCTCCCTATTGGCACTGCCCAGGCCAGAGGGCAGAGCACAGAGTTTTCTCCACACTCTGTCCAGGACACTCCCAGGCTTGGGGTTTTTCTATAGGTTTGGAGAGGGGTGGGGTGGGAGGCACAGGGAGGAGACCCTGACAATAAAGAGATTGGATCCCAACTTGCTCTGAGATGGGATGGTTTGCATTTTCTCATGAAGGTACCCTGGCCCTCTTGCCCAGCCAGAAAGCAGATCTGCTGTACCCCCTTCACTCTAACCTGTCAGGGACCATTGTCTAGGGCAGCAGTCGCCAACCGGTGGTCCTCGGACCACTTGTGGTTGGCGACCGCTGGTCTAGGTTGTATAATATTGATCCACCTGGGCCTTAATTTCCACAGCTAAAATGGAGATAAAAATAGCCAGCAGGGTTGTTGGGGAGGGTCAGATGTGCCAGTACCCATGAGAGCAGCTTGGTGGCTGAGTGCCAATTGTGAGCCACTTGGTCAGGCAGCAGTAGGTCCAGGCCTCAGCTTCTCCTAGGTCTGGTCTTTCCCAGCTCTAAAGCAATCCGAGAACCTGCTGTTTCTTCCCCTTCTCTGTCCTGGTTTAGGACCCTAGTTTTTATTCACTTGGGACTTTGTCCTCACCAGCCTCCCTGTCGCCAGCTTCTCCCTGCCCCATTTCTCATTGGCCACCACAGTGTTATTTCTGAATTATATCCCTTCCCTGTATAAAACCCTTTCTGACTAGCTTCTCACCATCTAGACAAAATGCCAGCTCCTGAATATGGGGTACATGATCCTGGTCTCTCCTGTTCTTTTGACACCACACACATAAACCTTAGACTGCAACCACACAAAACAAGTCCTTCATACTTATCAGCAGCAAAAAAGAGAGCCCCACTCCTGTTACCTCACACAGTAGGAGTTTGGCATCAGGATACATGTGGCCTGTCTGCACTCATCTCTGTTCTTTAACAGGCCAGGTTCCTTCAAACTCCACTTCTGTGCTAACTTCTCCTCCCCTTCCCTATATTCCCCATAAATTGTCCAATTTCTCCACATTCAAATTCCCAATAGAGAATTAACTGCCACAGCAGTATATTTTGAGTTAATCATAGATTACAGATATCTCCCCTGGTCCAGTGAAGCGGGGATTCACGTGTGGCCACTTAGGCTGGTCTCATTGGTTTAGGGCTGTGGGTGGGCAGGCACTCATAAACATACTTTGCTCCAAGCCTGGCACATACTCTTGCTCCTACTTTTTCTACCTGGGAAGTATCCACTCATTATTAAGCTGCTATCCTAGTCCTCACTTCTGGGAAATTTCAGAGATCCAGACCTGGGGTGAAAAATAGCCCCTTGGAACTGGGATGGGCCCTTGCCCAGCTTGGTCAAAACAAACGACTTCAGTTTGGAGAGATGAGGAAGGTGTCCTGAGGAAGGTACTAGGTCCACAGGGAATGTCTTTTTCCCCCTGAAAAGCCCTCAGTGAAACACACCTCTACCATCCTTGAACCCACAATCTTTCCTTACTGACCAGAAGGCCAGAGCCCAGCTCTAGCAGACCTGCTTGCATACCTGGGCAGATGTTTGTGTCCCCACCTGTACAAGATGGGGAACTACTACTCTGTGATGGAGCCTGGGCAAAGTCTAAAGTAGGGGTTTTGGAGCCTGATGAACCTCACACTGAGGGCTGGCACTGTATTACTTTGTTCCTAGAGCCTAGTGCTATATGCCCATTGCACAGTAATAACATTCCCAGACTCTACAAGGCTCTACTTGGCTGAGATACTTTTCAGAGCTTGGGGGACAGCTAGAACAGCAGGGGCTATGGGTTTCCATAGTATGTCAGGCATAGAGAACCATGAGAAGAGCAGGAAACATCTGATCTACCCAGAGGCCCTGCCTAATCGCCTTGGCACCAGAACATATCCTAGACAGAGAATGGGATCCCTGTCCTGGCATTCCAGGGAACGGTTACAGTTGTATCCTTAAGCGGGAGGTTCATAACCATAAAACTCTCCATAAATATGCCTGCCCTCCCCGTATCTGGGGTCAGGAAAGTCGTCTCCCATTCCATGCTCAACAGTTTTCAATTTTCTGTCTTAACCTCTGAAAAACCGAAAAGAGATGGTGAAGAAATGTGATACCAGATTGTGCCCAAAGGACCGCTATCTCTAGATGTTTTTAAGATCTGAAACCTCATTTGTGATTCTAGCAGCCATCTTGAAGGAGTATCACAGCCAGTGGGTTTACTGGATTGTGACCCTAGGCAAGTCTTTCCTTGCCAGGTCTGTTTCCTCATCTGTATGAGGGGTTGGCCTACATCAGGGATAGTGTGGGCCTTATATCAGTTATTAACTGTAGTATAACAACTACCCTGAAATTTAGTACCTTTCCATAAACATTTATTAGCTTCTGAGTCTGTGGCTTAGCAATTTGCATTGTGCTCAACTGGGTGGATCTACTTTACCTGGGCTCTCGTGTGGGTGAAGTGATCTGGCAGATCGCCAGGGGGCTGGTTGGTCCCAGATAACCTCACTCAGCTGGGCAACAGGGGCAACTGGTCACACGTTCCCAGCATCTAGGAAGAGTAAGCCCCAATACACAAGTGCTCTTCAAGCTTGTGTCATGTTGGTAAGGTTCCATTGGCCAAAGCAAGGCACGTGGTTAAGCCCAAATTCCTCTTAATTTGAAGAGCTTCAAAATATGGCCATAATTTGTTTTTAATCTATCTTAGGCCTCATTTCACTTAGTGCTTCAAAACATTAGTAGCTGCTAGAGTACTTCTTGAGGATTTAGAGCAGTTTTTAGACTACTAGGAAATAGTAACATGGCAGTTTAGTTTTTTTATATTGACAAGAGTTGAAATGTGGGTATGTGTTGAGTATTGGCCAACCCTGGCCGGGTCATAGAGACCACAGAAATAGAGGAGCATGGCCAAAGCTTCTGAGCCAGGTATCCTGGGTTTGAATCACAGTTGGGACATTAGCTTTGAGTAAGTCATAAGTCCTCCACCTATAGCCCCATTCTTCATGATAAAATTATTCCATAGTGACAGTAAACCATTTCCTGAATATCTGCTGTGTAAAAGGCACATTTTACACCTATTTAATCTCTACAACCACCTTTAAGTGGATGTAGTGTGAACTTTTGGTTACAAGTTATAGAAACTGAACTCAAACCTCCTTAGGAAGAAGTTTAGTTTCACAAATTGAAAAGTCCAGGGCATGAGTGGGTGGAAAGGGAATCCCCAAAAGGGAAACATGAGTGGAAAAAGGGAGGCTTGGGCTGACAGAAATAATGTCTTCATTGTGTAGATGCCTATTTTATGGATTTTATAATGTGAAGTTTTAAGCATGGCCCCATTGACAAGTAGTGTCTATATCCTCTCCCTTTCATCTGGACGGTGACTGATAGAGTACAGTGATGGTAATGCTATCCCAGTCTCCTAGCAGTATGCACCTAGCAGTGTGTCTCGGGACCCAGCCACCATGCTATGAAGAAGCCCAGGTCACACGGAGAGAGAGGCCGTCAGACATTAGTGAGGAAGCCTTTGAGATGACTCCAACCCAGCCACTGTCTGACTGAAAACTGAGTAAGAACTGCCTCCCAGCCCTAGCTGGTTTGGCTCAGTGGATAGAGGGTCAGCCTGCGGCCCAGAGGGTCCCGGGTTCGATTCTGGTCAAGGGCACGTACCTTAGACCTGAGGGGGGGGGGGGTGTGCGGGAGGCAACCAATCGATGTTTCTTTCACATCAATGTTTCTGTCTTTCCCTCTCTTCTACTTTCCCTAAAAATTAATGGAAAAATATCCTCGGGTGAGGATTAATAAAATGTAAAAAAAAAGAAGAACTGAGATCTCCCAGACCCCAGTCAGAGTCTAGCACCACAAGGGATAATTTAATTGTTGTTGTTGTTGTAAGCCACTAAGTTTTGGAGTGATTTGTCATTTATCAATAGAACACAGACACAAAGAGGTTACATAGCTTGCTTGCTCTACTTTAGGGGGATTGGGTTCAGAGTACAGACTATTGAACTGAGTTCCTATTTAGTTGTGTGACCTTAGGCAAGTAACTTAAGCTCTCTGAACTTCATCTTCATTTGAAAAAGAACACATCCTTGCCCTAGCCAGTTTGGCTTACTGGATAGAGCATTGGACTGTGGGCCAAAGGGTTCCGGGTTCGATTCCAGTCAAGGGCACATACTTGCAGGCTCCTCCCCGGCCCGAGCCCTGGTCAGGGTGCATGCAGGAGGCAACCAATTGATGTGTTTCTCTGTCTTTCCCTCTTCCACTCTCTCTAAAAGATCAATAGAAAAATATCCTTGGGTGAGGATTAACAAAAAATAAATAAAAAGAACGCATCCTTGTATAACAATACTTAATGAGAATACTTATCTATACCTAATCCAAATTCAGGTAATTTTTCTCTTAAAAAATAACCATACTTTCCTACTTACTTTATACTCACCTTGTCCCCAAATGTATTTCAGGCAACTTAAAAAAGAGAGAGGCAATACAATATTTAAAATGAGGCAAAGGAAGAGGTAATCATAGGCCTTTTGTTGGTGTTCCGATGTCTGAGTCATTGCAGTTAAGCAGTGTATTGATCTGGTCTAGGCCCGTGGAGCAAACCCAGCTGGCCCTCCTGCCTGTGTGGATGGACACCGCTTTTCTCTGACTGGTGAGTGGGCTCCTGGTCCACACATACCCCTCCCTGCACCTCTGCCTCAGTGCACTTCCACAAAGGTGCAGCAGCTGGGTCTTTGGGCAAGGGCATGGGTTTGGCTTTTTCAGATACACAGAACAGAAACTGATAGGGTTACCCTTTCTCACTTTCTGACCTGGACCCCATTTCTTCCCCACCCTCCAGTCTCTTCTAACAATAAGGCTCCTTCTTGCTGTCCGTGTGGCTCAGAGCATCAACCTATGTATGATCCAGATCAAGGTTCGATTCCCAATTAGGGCACATGCCCAGTTGCAGGCTTGATCCCCCGTAAGGGGTGTGCAGGAGGCAGCCGATCAGTGATTCTCTATTACCATTAACTATTGGCCTGGTGCACGAAATTTGTGCACATTAAAAGGGAATTAGAGGAAATATTTTAATATTGCTATTTGCCCTTTCTCTATAATAGAAATGTCAGAGATGAAAGAAAATTAGTAAAATGTATATGAAAA